AGCAGATGGCATGGATGTAAGTGAAGGAGGGGGGGGAGGAGGGATGATTGGCAGAATGGGGTCGGAGTGGAAGGTATGTGAGGGGGATGAGACTGGTTGATGAGGGAGCAAATTTTATAGATGAATGAGTGTGCCTGAGTGTGGGTGAAAGGCTGCGACTAATGGAGGAAGGGATGTGAGGGGGATATGAGACAGTTTGATGAGAGGGCGGGTTTTGTGGATGAAAAAATACGAAAGGGTATGACAGGGTGTGAATGCGTGGATGCGAATGGAGGGGGAGGTGTTGGGCTTMGTACTGGGTGATTTGGGTTAAGAGTGTTGGAGGGAGAAATTGGTAGAACCTTGGCAGTTTAAATGTTACTAGTTACTATGTTACAAGTTTCTGACTATGTCTCTTAATTGATTTGATGACTTTGATGGATTTTTTTTTTTTTTTTTTTTTTTTAAGTTGAGATTGAAATTGTCCGATTATCGAGGAGAGATTTTACAGTTGGCGCTGGCTGTCGAGGGGGGCTCGAAAAGTTTGGAAGGGCGAGGGGTGTGCGGGCAGGGGTGAGGAATGGTCACACCTCGGCTGTTTGAACTTCTTCTTCCTCCTTCTGTTGCGAATTCTCCTCCGATCGTGATGTCTGCCTCTTTTGGGTTGATACCCTGTTCCCAGCTTCCTGCGACCATATATCCTCAATCCCAGATGCGACCACCCGTAATGCTATCAGATTAATCTCCGTTTCTCTCCACTCCCCTAGTTACGTAGCCATCCTCATTCTCTTCGTCATCGAAAATTTCATTATAAATCAAAACGGGACAGCGAATCAAACTCCAACTCCAACAGCACCATCAATCTTCGCTCGCGGATGAAAAGAACAGCTGTCCTCCAGGCTGATGCTATTTAGTCTATGTTAAATGACCTCCACATGTCCGCTCACCTTGATYGGCTGATGCAGCGTCTCCTCTACAYGGACCCTTASTCGAAGCATCCGCAAGGCAGATGCTCTGTCCCAGAGRAGAGCCCCGGTGATGGCGGGATGACAGCTCARATGATGGCAAGATAACCGCTCCCTGTCGCGTCCAACTCAGCAATGTGAACAGCGTGGTAACTGCCACGCTCGCAATGAAGACAGAGTGGCATGCGCCACAACAGCAATGTCGAAGACAGCGTGCTCTTGCGCCACATCAGCATTTTAGTGCTCCATCAGYTGTATTCTGTATCTTCGYTCGCAGATGAAGGGAAAAGCCGTCCGCCAGGCTGATRCTGTTTAGTTTATGTATACTGACCTCCACGTGTCCGCYCACCTTGRTCGGGTGATGCAGCGTCTCTACTACACGGACCCTTGCTCGAAGGTGATGGCGGGATGACARCTCAGATGATGGCRAGATGACCGCTCCCTGTYGCGTCCAACTCAGCAATGTGAATCTGCGTGGCAAATGCCACTTAGCGCAATGAAGACAGAGTKGCATACRCCACAACAGCAATGTCGAAGACAGCGTGCCCTTGCGCCACATCAGCTTTCTAGTGCTCCATCARCTATATTYTGTATCTTCGTTCRCCGAGGAGAGCCCCGGTGATGGCGGGATGACAGYTCAGATGATGGCAAGATGACTGCTCCCTKTCGCGTCCAACTCAGCAATGTGAACAGCGTGGCAAATGCCACTAGCGCAATGAAGACAGAGTGGCATGCGCCACAACAGYAGTGTCGAAGACAGCGTGCCCTTGCGCCACATCAGCATTCTAGCGCTCCATCAGCTGTATTCTGTATCTTCACTTGCACATGAAAGGAATAGCCGTCCGACAGGCTGATGCTATGTAGTCTATGTCTACTGACCTCCACGTGTCCGCTCACCTTGATCGGGTGATGCAGCGTCTCTACTATACGGACCCTTGTTCGAAACATCCGCAAGGCAGAGGACGTCGCGCCCGCTCTGCTATGCTCCAGAGGAGAGCCCCGTCGATGGCGGGATGGCAGCTCAGATGATGGCGAGATGACTCTCCTYTCGATGCTTTTCCTCTYCTCTYTCCTTTTTCTCACCCTAGGCTAAAGACTTCCTCACCTATCTTCCTTCCTGACTTGATACATGTGAACTCACACGCACACTTCAACTCCGAAAAGCTTACTCCGCCTGGTTCCAGTGGCGATGACTATATYCATCCCCCTCCCAGCCTGATGCAGCTATAATTAGAGAGCTGCAGCTATGGAACTCTCTCGCGGCACGCACCCGAGATGGCAAATTTCCCTTCTCCGTACGTGGGATCATTTGCTACGTCAACCTGTGACGTGGCTTGATCCAGCGCTCCTGCTTGTTGCGCGTGCGCTAGGCGCCTAATGGGATCAGTCCAACTAGACCCATTCTAGCTCTGTCTTTGTCCAACTAGACCCATTCTAGCTCTGTCTTTGTCATCACGTAGAGCAGCTCCAGTCTTGGTCATCAGCAGGTACATGGCCACCATCTGCACCCGTACCTCTGTCATCATCTGGATCTACTCATGTCTGTTTGTTAGCATGGGAAGCCGATAATCCTGCCCCCTCTTTGCTGCAAGTCCCCCCTGATGGGAAGTAGTCTCAACCCCCCAGGAAGTCCAAGTCCCCCCTGTTTCAGACCCCCAATCAAACTGACGCTGCAAGTCCCCTCTGAGAGGGAGTAACCGTAACCCTGCAGACAGTCACTGTTGTCCAAATCCCTACCTGTCGCACTGAAAGTCCCCCTGAGGGGGAGTAGTCTCAAACCCCCAGGGAGCTACCCCCTGCTTGCAATTCCTCCCCTGAGAGGGAGTAATCTCACCAGCAGTCTCACCAGAAAGACCCTGCGGACAGGACCCTCTACCCCATCCCACCTGCAGCCCTGCTCCCCCCAAAGGAAGGCCCTGAGGTAATCAACTAGGTAATCATCCACTCCGCTACAACCCTGTCTGCACCTCCCTGCTGTCTAAACCCTTACCCATCTTGTTGCAACTGCCCCCTGAGGGGGAGTACTCTCAACCCCCCAGGGAGCTGCCCCCTGCTGCAAATTCCCCCCTGAGAGGGAGTAATCTCAACCCCCAGAAAGTCCCTGCTGACAGGACCGTCTACCCCGTCTCACCTGCTGCCCTGCCCCCTCCCAAAGCAAGGTCCTAAGGTAACCAACTACGTAACCATCCACTCCACTACAACCCTGTCTGCACCTCAGCTATCTTGGTACTATGTGACGTACTGGCCTGATAAGAATTGAATCCTGGACCTCCTCCTTTCACCTATCTCAGCCTACTGAGCTACTACATCAACTGACCTGTGCATGCACTGTTCTAGGCTGGGGGACAAGTACGTGGAGTGCCAACGTAGCACCAACTTATCGTGCTGATCGGAGGTTGAGGGCCAATAGAATTGAACCGGCGAGTTCCCCGTTGCAACGGCAGAGTTCTAACCCACTGATCTACCACGCTTGTGATTTTCTGCTTGAGTTGCAAAATGATGGAAAGATGGCCCGATAAGAATTGAACCATTAACCACATAGATCAGGCTGCTGGGCTACTATAGCAACTGATCTGTTTACTAGGCTGGGGGACAAGTACGTGGAGTGCCAACCCAGCACCAACGGATCGTGCAGAGCGGAGGCTGAGGGCCGATAGAATCGAACCCGCTACCTCTGCGTTGGAACGCCGGAGCTGTAACCTACTGAGCTACCACGCTTGTGACTCTTTATTTCAATCGGACCCGCTACCTCCCCGTTGCAACGCCAGCAGCGGTAACCTACTGAGCTACCACGCTTGTGATTCTTTATTTCAGCCGCAAAACGAAGCCAAGAAACAGCTTTCAGGGGGCCGTCTCGGCGCTCTGCCAAACATCAGTAAGGAATTCTGGACAGTGCCTATTCACTCATCCCTGAGATTTCCTTCCTAAGCCTGAAGAAAGCAGAGCAAAGCAGGAACTAAGACCTAGGACGCACTGGCGTGATGTTCATGCTTGCAAGGGACAAACCATTGCTGTGAAACCTATCAAGGTCAGACTAACAGAAAAGTGAGAGCACAAACGCGCCACATCAGGGGCATGGCCATGATGCAGAGGCAGAACGGTTTAGGAATTTGAGCAGAAGAGATGGCACTTGCGTCTGTTTGGAGCCCTCAGATAATGTCAGGGGAGGGAATAATGACAAACAAAATCACGTCTGGTGTGCAATAAGACTCCGAGGCATGCTGCTGCTAGCGTCCATTCTGTCTTGTGTAGACAGAAGCAGTGTGCGACTGGTGCTAAAATGGCAACAGACATTAATTACAAACAACAAAGGGCTGCTTTGATACAAGAGATAGAGTATTGGAAAATGAAGGGCTGTTGGATATAGGATGCAGCAAAGAGCAACTGGATAAATGAAGGATAGCAAAGCAAGCTGTTGAGCAAGGGATAACAGGTAGACCGCTCTCCTCCCTGGGCAATGGCGAAGCAGCCTACCAAATCATCCATCTGCCATCTGGTGCAAAAACAGCTCCAATTGCATAGCCCAACAGAAAGAGAGGCCGAGGGAGGTGCCGCGCAGGAATGCGGAGTGAAAAGAATGGGCCCAGCAGATCATAAATCTGGTACAACTACACCGCCAGATTTTTAGTCTGGTAGAAAGAGGACCAGGGCGGTCTGTCCTCGGCGTGAAGGCCCATGGTGACCAGACATAAGAGGCCGGTAGTACTCAACTCGAAGGCTGTGGGAGTAAACAGCCCAATAGGTTTCCGGTGGGCGTGTTCTACCTGTTATCTTGTTGAGCAAGCAGCCTGCTAAGAGATGGGCACAACCGAAGCGAGGTTTGGCAAGCTGTTCCAACTAAGAGGATTTCTTTCACACAATGTCATTCGCAATGCCAAGAATTAGTACCCCATGTGGCACGAACTGAGAGCAAACACCCCAATAGGTTTCGGGTGGGTGCCGAGTTCCAGTTGAGCAACCAGCCTGCGTAGAGATGGGCACAACCCAAGCAAGGCTTAGCAAGCTGTTCCAACGATGAGGGTTTCTCACAATGTCATTCACAATGCAAAGACTTACCCCATGTGGCACGAATACCAGCTTGTCTTCCGGGGAAAGGCTGACTATATCGTCCTCAATGGGCTCAATGAGAAATGCATAGAGCCTCTGGAGAATGGACCTCATTTTCTTTCGCTTCCGTGCTAACTCGACGTCCCACGCTTGTGCTTCTTGACCATGTGAGCTTGTCGACTGTGACGCCCAACTTTGACCTCGCTCCTGTATAGCAGCACGTCCTGCAGTGAAAGCAGGGAAAGCAGCATCTGATTCAACATCTGCTGAGCGCGAAGGACTGCGGCAGCGGTTCATTTCCGAACTCCCAGATTGAGAACTGCAATGGACGGAAGATTGGAAGGGGGAAGGCACAGTCCTCCTTCTGCGCCGAGAGCTGCGAGTACAAGCGGAGCTGTCTTTTAGTAGCTCGGTAAGCTGCCCCACTTGCTCGTCCACACCACGACTCGTTACTTGATGCCGGGTTCGGAGAACGTGGGTATTTCCATCTCCAATTCTGAAGGTGTAAATCAGAAGCGATTCCAGTCGTGAGGCCTCTGGGTCGCCGGAACAGAAGTGGTACTGCACCAGCAAGACACCAGGGCCACATATCCTACAACCATCAAGAACCATAGACATGGCGGTGGCATTGTCGGAGTCGAACTTTGCAAAGAGTGAGTGGTCAGCATGCGTAGCCAAGAGCTTGCGATCTGCATAGGGTAGAAACTGGTTCTGGGACTTTCTTCGGTTCATCAGCACTGCAGATAAGAACCGGTTATGGGACCGTGTGTTCCAGATGAACCCCTCTTCAAGGTACGAGTACCTGAAGCACTCAATCTGCAAACGATGAAATTGAAGCTCTTCCCACTCTCCGTGAAAGGAGATTCTTGCCAGTGGAAGTTCCCCGATTTGCCTCTGCTCGAACTGAAACAGCGTGAGAGCTGCCGCTCTCCATTTGGCAGTCATCTGCTGGTCGCGAACTAGATGCGAAAAGAGCAACACGCGTTGGGCCGATGGATAATCTCTGAAGAAAGAAGCATAATGCTCCATCGATCTCAATCCCTCAGCGAGATGTCCATTCATGAACTGATGAATACCCCGAATGCACTGTTGGTGCGCTCGCAATGCTTTGTATCTGGCAAAGGCAAGTATTCCTTCGTCAGGTTTGTGAACTGACTTCAGGATCTGAACAGCTCTGTCGAGGATTACATGCAATGAGTGCTCATCAAAAAGATCTCCCGCAAGTGGCGGACTCCACATTCCTTCAAGTTTGCGCTTGATGTGTATCATCATGACCCTCTGGCATGCCGCATCGACCAGCAGTTGTGCCTCTCTATGTGGGGTAAGCAGGTTGAAAGTTGACCAGGTTCGTCGGGCACACTCAGAAAACTCTATCGGGATGGGGCCCTCACGATCCCAAAATGCTGAGAGCTTTTCCATGGAAAGGGCCCAGTCTCGGCCCGAAACTTCTATAGGATAGTTTGTAAACGGGCAGCCAAGCTCCTCCTGAATAAATTCTACCAATCCCATTGCCAGGATGGCGGCACTCCTCGCCATGTATTCTTCGTTTACTTCGGAAAACAAGCGACCCATGTCACATAGGGCGCGAAGCTCGCGCATGCGAGACACAAAGCAGGTCTCCCTGCCGATGGTAAGCTCCTTTGCCAGCCTCCAACGAATGCAGCAGCGCCCGATCGAAGATGTTGTGTGGAATGCAGCTCCAGATCCTCTTCGCACATGTCCTGCTTCGTACATACGCTCGTAAATCTCTACTGACCATCTTTTGTAGCCTCGTCTGTTGCAGAAACTCAGCGCCAGATTGAGAAATTGGTCCCTGAGGAAATCAGATTCCAGAAAGGCTTTGCAGTCCTTACCATGTTGCCCGATGATTGTGATCGAGTCGCAGACTCCGGAAGAACACGAGATGATCTCGCTAACGTAAACTCTGTCGACCAATGCCATAACCATCTCCTCCATCAGATGGAGCCTAGCCGTCTCACCAATCCGCTCACAGATTGAATCAAGGCACGGACCGAGGTTGTCATTGTTCCATAAATAGAATGTGATCAAGTCATGTGCACACCTAAGCCTCATTTTCAACAAAAACAGATGCTTAGCCTTCCTGTTCCCCCCACATAGCGATTGTTGAATCGCTTCACCCTCATTGTTGACCATGTCAGAGTACATATCTGCCAAAGTGTCCCAAATACGCATTGCGCTCATGAGACGGGAGCCGCTCTGCAGCCAACCAAGCATTTCCATTGTCTCATCATGCTCATCATGAGGGAGGTTCATATTAGGAAGCTCACTCTCGATGAAGTGAACATCCATTAAGGATATGGCTGCAAGCGGACAGTACTCCAGAGGACGTATCTTCTCCTCGTTCGATTCGTCAGCATCCATGACAAGCTTGATAAGTGCAAACAGCGTTTTCAGCCTGCGAGAGGGCTTGAACGGTTCCACGTACCTTCGAGCAAAAGATTGACAAAATGCAGCTGTCACCCTGTTGAAGGAGGCTGGTTGTAGGATCTTCAACAGCAAAGATGGTGTTAACACAATTGGCTCTTCCCATGGATTGGGTGCAAAGACACCTCTCCATAGCTCTGCCAGAAAGAATGCAGTAGATGAGATCGCCTCTTTCTCGCCTTTCCATTTTAGGAAAGACTTCTCCACCAGCAGAATGATGTCAGAAGGCAGATCACCATGACCCTCTGCTATCCCAGACCGCACCTTTTGCATCACCATCATCACATCCCAAGAACATCCCCGCTGTTGTTCATCCACTTTCTCCTCTCCCTTCCCTCCTGTTTCTCCTTCGCCGCCTCCTTCTCCTCCTCTTCCTTCTTCACCTCCTTCATCCCCTCCTCCTCCTCCTCTTCCTCCTTCTTGTCCCACCTCCTCCTCCTTCATCGCGGTACTGTAATTCAGGGAATGTCCTCCCTCATAAAAGAGTGCAACATAGGATGGATCCACATTTTCAGCTCTGCATCCAAGGAAAGTTTTCCCCATCAGCCCGATCATTTCTGAAGGTACCTCATGTGGACGAACCTCAGGTATCCATGATCGCACATGTTCCAGCATCGTGGCATCCAATGCCTGTCCTAGCTTACCGTCTCCTTCCCCTTCTCCTTCTCCTTCTCCTCCTCCTCTTCCGCCTTGGCTTGCTTCCTCTTCACTTCCTTGTCCTTCCCCTCCCATTCCTCCTGCTCCTCCTCCTCCTCCTTCCTCGCCTTTTCCTCTTCCCTGTGCTAGTCCTTCTCCTCCTCTTCCTTCTTCGCCTTTTCCTCCTCTTCCTGCCGCTGACTCCTCTTCCTGCCTTGCCTCCTTCTTCATCGTCTCCTCCTCCTTCCCCTTTAACTCTAACCCCTTCTTGTCATTGTCCTTATCCTCCTCTTCAGAATCTACAGAAGCACAGCTTACCTCACCTACAAACCCGTCCTTGACTTCCTCCATGTGACCGCAAAATTCTGTGAATCGCTTTTCTCTCGCGCTTCTACAGGTATAGGAACATCCAAGTGAAGAATACTGACAGTACAAGAAACCTGCAGAAGGTTTAACGCACGCCAAGAACAAAGAGCTGCGCTTTTACAATTAATTAATTGTAATCTTTATTTAAATTATTTTGTTTCACATGCAGTGGAACTATGTCGAATGGAATGGGCCTCTTAAGTGTTTGGGCCGGCGACTTCATCTGAACAGCATTTATTACTACAATCATACAATGATCATATACATCGCATGATCATACACTTTGGCCCAACCCAACGTACAAACATTCATTGAACAAAGTACAATCAGCGCAATCTTAGGACTATAACTTTTTAACTCTTGGTTGAAGTTGGTTCTCTTTTCTTCTTCCTGTTTTTTTTCAGAAAGGGCGACGGACTTGAGATACCATCACTGGACTGACTGCCCCCAGGTAATTCAGAATTATGTTGTTCTGTTCATCCAATTGCATCTGGATTCGAACTTGGTTTTGTATTACCACAGGTCATGGGGATCCACCAACTGAGGTCCGACCGTTGGTGACAATGATGATGATCATCCATGAAAAATGTGTGAATCATCATTGAATGTTCTCTTCTCGCAACAGTTACTGCCAAAACATATAACATCTGAGCGATACAGACAACACTAACGCGCCTTCAGCCTCAGTAAGGCACAAAGAACGATGCCCCACTTGAACCAGTGATATATGACATCCTTTGTGGGTCGATTCACGTACTACATCACGCCACCATACAAAAAAATGGTACACAGAATCATTCCTAAACCTAAGCCGTATGATAATGATGACAGTCACACTAATCATGATTGTAACAGACCAAGTGAGAGAAAACATGATGAAGACAAATTTTCATATGACCAGAATCATCAGTATCACAACTTAGCAAGTAAGCAAACAAACAAACACACACTATTGAGAGTGTGAGGAGCCCACTCTCTGGACAGCAACTCACAGCACAGCGAGCACACCAATAACGCACCTCACCACACGAGTCTCAGAATGGAAATCTAGACACAAGATACAAGAACATTGCAAATTGCTTAGGGAATCAAGGACTTTTTCAAAAGTACATCTAGGCACAAGATGAAACAGTTTTCACCTTTGGCAGTAGCCGATGCAGATCCCAGGGGTCGATCCCTTGACCTCAGCTTACCTGTGTACAGTATCTGTACAGTTCCCTGGAGTTGAACCCGTGACCTGCACGAT